TATTTATGTTTTCCTGGGGGCAAATAGGCATAGGTTTCCAAACTGTGTCAAATTATTGCCCCTCCCCACATGACACTTTACCAGAGAGTTCCCAGAGTTACTGTGAACACAATTCACTAAACTAGATCAAACTGCTTTTACCCCTTACCCTCATCATGGGGTTTGGCTTAAATCAGAGTTCATGACAGAACATACCACCCATCCATTTTAAGGTCTTCATAGACTAAGAATGTTTCAAGGGAAAGGAAGAGTTACAGAAATAGCACATACATTCTGTAAGGTTGTGGCTGCGACATTAAATGGTCTTACGTGTTCAAGAAAGGCAGAAGTGTGCAGCCATTGGAGACTCGGGAACACTGGGTAAGGCCTGAGCCCAGACCTTAGAGGTCACTATTCTCCACCATTAGTGTGCATCACAAACATGCATGGAACTGGTTAAAAATAGAAATATCCAGACCTACTGAATCAAAATTCAAGATTACTGTTGTAGAAGAATTTAAAAACCCATTCCTATGTCAAGCTTGACGCTGTTTTGCCACAAGCCAGTGCTTCGCAGAGTTCCCAAACACTAAAAACAAGACCAAGCATAAGCCCTGTTAGAGCCATTTGTTCTGGAAAACACTGTCCTGTATCAAACACCCTTCTATAAATGAGTTGGCCATGATGCTTTAGAGACCAGATGGGAGTTTTGTACAGTGAGTGACAGGGTTTTCCTTCCAGGGTTTCCATCTATTCAGACCACAAGGAAAATAAATGCTTTGTAAGAGAGCTATGCTTTCACCAAAAGCTGGTTGATTATCATTTATAGAGAGATAGCTTGAAGATTCTGTTTGTGTCTACAACTGTAGCTTTGATATTCCAATAGTCAGTCCTTCAACTGTAGAATCATTTTCTCCTGGTCAGTATCAGGGATTTTAAGAACCGGAGAGAAACTGGCACATGTTTTCATTCATTAGGACAAGAAAGACTGGGGTGGTCCTACATCTAACCACTCGGAATCTCAGCAGCCACACCTACCTGGGCCCTTGCCAGCCTGCACTTCACTGGCCGGCTCTGTCTGTGGGTCCCACATGGGTGAGCCATCAGGACAGAGCATCATGTACCCTGTCCAGCTGTACTCTCGCTCCTGAGCTCTAACAGCTCTATGACATGGGGCATGTTAGTTACCTTTTCCAAGCCTGTTTCCTCACCTGCAAAGTGAGGTTGAAAACATTTATTGGGTTGTTACACAAATTAGGTAAGTCCCATATGGTGCACAGTGTGGTGCCAGGCACAAGGTTAGCACTCAGTGAATGGCAGGGATGCTTTTGATGACCACCCTGCATCCATGTGAGTCAGTATCTAACTGCTCAAAGTCCACAAATGTGCTGGCAGTCACAGTGTTGCCACAGCCCATGCGTGATTCTCTCTCCTAGACTTTTTCCCCCACATTACATAAATCAGACAGTTTATTATTTTATACTAAGGTGTGTAACTTTTACCATGGACACTGAAATACCTATGTCAGAATATAGTTTATTTTTTCTAAAGGCAGTTACACAGAAAAACAGGGTATTATCAGGTTATCTGTCAAATATAGTACCCAAAGGGAAGCTAATCTTAAGGCCCACATCTCACCTAGGGAGCTGTGCACACCTTGCCACCACAGGGACAGCCCAGGCCCCAGTGTTCTTTGACTCTTCCATCCCTATGTGGCCCTGGGCAGGCAGTGCAACCTGGGCTTGCTCTTACTAATGTAGCCTCACTTGTTGACTTTGAGGGAATGAATGAATATGCTTACCCCTGTGTCTCTCTCCAGAAACTTTACATCATGCAGCTCTGAATTTGAGACAGTAATTTAAGGAAACAGATGGCATAATTAATTACTAACCAAAGGTACCTCTATCTCAAAAAAGAAAATGGTAACAGAGATTGCCCTGAGGGCAACTGGGGAATTGGAGCCAGGGATGGGAGTTTGACTTTTCACTATATACCACTTTATCTTTTGAATTTTGAACATCAAAAGTATTTCTAGCATATTAATATTTAAAAAGTTATGACATAATTTGTATTTTTGAAAGTTATGCCTCAGCATAGAGAATATTGTAATGAGGACTTATCAGGGTGATTGCTCTGTAAGGCATATAAGTGTCTGATCACTATGTTGTACACCTGAAGGTAGTATGTCATTTGTCAAAAAACTTTTGACTTATATGCAAGGAGTATGGGGGCTTATAATTCATGACTTTATGCAGGTCACTATTTCATTTACATGAGCATATTATAATCCAGTGAGTTTTGCTTAATCAATCCAATTGTCACATGAACAAAGAGAAACACATAAATAACTCCGATAATGATACTAATATATAAATACAGTGTTTCAGTTGGGAATAACAGAAGAGTTTTGGAGGTGAAGGGCAGTGATGGTCACACAATAATGTGAATGAATGTCCCTAATGCCACTAACCTCTACTTGTAAGTGGTTAAAATGAAACTCAAAACCCATTAGGCAACTCTTTTTTTGTGGTATATTTCAGTTTTGCGAGGTGAGAAAGTTTTGGAGATTTGCTTCACAATGCGAATGTACTTCATACTACTAAACTGTACCCTTTAAACAATTGGTAAAGATGGCGAATTTCATGTATTTTTTTACCACAATATTTTAACAAACCTTTTGAAAACGGTTAAAATGGTAAATTGTATGTTATGAACATTTTACCACCACTTGTAAAAAGTTCTTTGTGATCTGTGGAGATGGAAATCAGATGAGTGGTTGTCTGGCCCTGGGGCAGAGGGAGTGACGGGCAGTCACTGCTGGTGGGCATCAGGTTTCTTGGGGGTGATGAAAATTTCTAAAACTGGACTGTGGTGATGGTTGAGCAACTCCGAATACGCTACTAAAATCATTGAATTATAAACTTTAAATGGGTAAATTGTATCATATGTAATCTCTAGCTCAATAGTTTTTTAAACCAACAAACAAGTTTTGTCTCACCTGTGAGGGCTGGGGAGCTTGTGCAGTCTCCGCCATGTGCCCCCAGCTGGAAGGGTATGGAAGCATGGGAGGGGGCAGAAAAGGAAGGGAATCTTCTGGGTTCAGGATTATTCAGGTTTTGACTGGTTTCTGCACAAGGTAACCAAAGGAATTCCTATTATAGATTTGGCACAGGGCTTTCTCTCTAACTCTCGTCTACTGCCCAGGGAAAGTAAAGGCCCGAATTTGTAAAAGAACGGGGCAAATGCAGTGTGTGTGGGTGTGTGTCATTCAATAACCCACTCTGGTTCACCCTTCAATGCTGTTTTTCAAAATATTATCACAATAAAGAAAGATCTGGAAAAAACTCTGTGCCCTCTTAAAAATTGACTGGCTTAGAAATAACAAAGGTTGCATTTTATTTGATCAAGTACAGTCTGGTATTACAAAGCAGTTAGTTTTCTCCTTTTAGTCATCATTTTCCATCCCTGATGGAATTGTGTGTGCATAAAGAGAACAGCCCTGGAAAAAAACCTTAAATCTCATTATACAGTAGCCCATGGCAAAATGGGGTTTTGAAGAACAGTGTTAAAAATACATCTGGAAATGTGAAATGAATTAATATGAAATGCACTTATGAGGAAGTGAATTTACATAGAAAAAAGCTACACATAAAGCATAAAGACTGAGATATGCCAAGCTTACGCAGTTCAGAATCAGGCCTTTGTGTCTGGGGTGGCATTAGAAAAGAGGCACATTTAAGTTTCTGAGCATCTTGACCTACTGCCATGAAACAATGCCAACTGGCAACAGCTCTGCTTGTCTCAGGTATGTCCCAGCTGCTTCAATGATTTTGATGCACTCCAGATGAACACCGTGTTGGTGTCACAAGTCCTCACTGTGTGTCCGAAGGTGTCCTTTGGGTGCATAGGAAACATCAAGTACAGAGCAGAAGGGCGAATGCAGAAAACTGAGAAGAGTGGTTACTGAGGTGACATGGTCTCAGTTTCAGGCAGGTGTGGTGCTCTTACATGTCCAAATACCAAGAAGTTCATTCCCTTTATTTTCCGATTTTGAATGATTTAGAATCATGAACTACCTAGTTAAATATGACAAAGTGGTATAATCCCATGATCCAGAATCAGTGATTTCTATACCAAAAATCTTGATTCTGAAAATTTTAGGATTAAAAAATCCACAAAGCCTGCTCTGAATTCTATGTTATACTAGATGTACGATATCCATGCGTCTTCCAACTTTCTGCTTGCTGTGTTCAGCAAGTTTGTAGGCAATACCTATGGAGGCTGATTGGAGAGTTGTAAAAGCATGTTATTTTGGTAGCAAGAGCTTTGGTATCAGGGACAAACTGCATGAGCAAGAATTCAGTTCTGATGCCCCTTTGAGAGCTCAGCCGTAGCCCCAGGCCTCACAGCTGTCCCCACCATCCAGAGCAGGGTCAGCACTCACCTCTCTGGGTGATAACCACAGTTGCCTGCACACCTTTCTCCCAGAACTGCTTTGTTCAATACTGATGGTCATGCTTCACAGAAGCCTGAACCATCTCAGCCCCAGGGGTTGAATGTCCACTAGTTATTCAGTGCTTTGAGTTCCATTCTCCTTGCCAGTGACTGGCTATGATGAAAAGCTGGCTAGTGAGACTCAGAGGAGATGTGCTGGTGCAGGTCCCCTGAGCCAGTTGTCTTTCCTCTTAAAACAGGACAAAAGGACAAGATGCTGGCTGTCTCCTCCTCACCGGTGCCTACAGCTATGGTGACAATATTAGCATTGGGAGACTCAGCCTAAACAGGGAGTGGGATAGGAAGGACCTGGTCATGATGCCATTAAGTTATTACATTAAGCAACCTTAGGATTTCCTACCTCTAGACTTATGTGGTGAGGTAATAAAATATTCTTATTTCTAAAGCACTAGGGAATGGATGGGATATCTGCTATTTCTGGCCTCAAGTAATCAGACACGATCTTCTTCCCTGAAATGACCACCCATTCTATAGAGTGAAGTACACACATGCAGGCACACACACTCTTTTACACTAAACTAACTGGTGTGAGCACGAACTTTACCCCTCATCTCCTAAATTCAAGCCCCTGGGAGTGGAGTGCATGTCTGGATTCCCTGTCTGGTTGCCCTCTTCCCCAGCATGATCACATCAAGGTCCAGTTCAGAATCTGCCTCCTACAGGATCAGTCTCTTATGAAGTCCCTGCCTGAAGCTTTCTCCGATTCTAACACACAACATCTACTGCCTCTAATCTGCCTCCATGCTGTCTGCTGCTTCCTGAGTCTGCTCGGTGTCCAGCACTGGGCACGTATTTGGTTTAGTGACTGACTGAACAGAAGACTGAGTGCAAAGCACCATATCCCTTCACCTGAAACTTGGGGTTTCCCTTTGCTCTTTTTGTTCTTGTCTTCTTTCCTCATCTTTCTTCTCTGTAAAGACAAAAACTGAGATAAAAGAAATTCAGAGCTCAAATTCTGAAGGAAGAATATGCATTTCTAAACAAAGCTGCAAATGGTATGCCCTGTCTCTGGGAGTTACAAATAAGTGACAGAATTACAAAATGGGGGAATAGCAGTTAGATGCTATATAAGTGACCTCCTGTTGCTGTACCTCCCATAGACATTGACCATTTCCACTACTGAAACTAGGGCTGGGATGGAGGCATCCTAAAAAATCATGAGTTATAGCAGAAAATACAGCAGAGCTCTAGTCAAGATGGAGGCATAGGCAGATACACTTTGCCTCCTTGCATAACCATAAGAAAGATTACAACTAACCTCAAAACAAAAATACCCAAAACTGCCAAAACACTGAACTGTAAGAATTTAAAGAAGATATATTCATCCAGGCAGGTAAGAGGGGCAGAGATGGGGAGCTGGGTGGAAAGGATGTGGTGTAGCAGCAGTGAGGTGGTGCAACAGGCAGTCTGTTTTAGGGATACCTGGGGTGCAAGCCCTAGGCCAGCCTGTGAAGCCTAGGGTTCCAGTGCAGGGAAAATAAAGCCTGGTAACTCCTGCCTATAAAAACCAGTAGGGATTGGGGTGGTGGAAGAAACTGCTGGTCTCTCAGGAGAGTCTGTTAAAGGGCTCTCAGTGTCCTGGACATTCACAAACCCACCCACTCTGGGAATCACCACCAGGGCAACAGCTAGAAGAGCACCAGTTATGTAAGTGACTGAAAGTTGGATGAGTGCCGAACAAGCCTCCAGTAGTCAGGCAGTAGCATTGCCCCCTTTCTGCCCCCCTCACACACATACAAAGCCATAAAGTGGTGAAGCAGAGTGCCCTGCCCTGGTGATTGCCTAAGGCTCTGCCCATAAAATGAAACAGGTGCGCCAAGACAGGGAGTCAAAGCAGCTTGACCTAAAACACAGAAACAAACACAAGGAGGCTGCCAGAATGAGGAGACAAAGAAATATGGCCTCATATAAAAGAACAGAAAAAAACCACAGTAAAATAACTAAGTGAGACAGAGATAGCCAACCTATCAAATGTGGAGTTTAAAACACTGGTTGCTTAGAGATCTCATTGGGTATGACAAAAGCATAGAGGAAGAAATGAAGGCTACATTAACTGAAATAAAGAAAACTCCACAGGGAAACAGTGAAAAGAAGGAAAACTGGGTTCACATCAAAGAATTGGAACATAAAGAAATAAACATTTAACCAGAATGGAAAGAAACAAAAATTCAAAAAAATAAAAGAATAAGAAGACTTTAGGATGTTTCCAAATGTGCCAACATTTGAATCATAAGGATACCAGAAAGAGAAGAAGACCAAGAAATTGAAAACTTATTTGGAAAAATGATGAAAGAAGACGTCCCTAATTTGGTGAAGGAAATAGATGTACAAGTCCAGGAAGCACAGAGTCCCAAACAAGTTGGACCCAAAGAGGACCACACCAAGATACATCATCATTGAACTTCCAAAGGTTAAAGATAAAGAGGGAATCTTACAAACATCAAGAGAAAAGCAGAGAGTAACCTACAAAGGAATTCCCATAAGACTGTCAGCTGATTTCTCTACACTTTGCAGGCTAGAAGGGACTGACAAAAAGTATTCAAAGTGATGAAAACCAAGAACCTACAACCAAGATTACTTTATCCAGCAAAGCTATCATTTGGAATGGGAGGGCAGATAAAGTGCTTCCCAGACAAGGTAAAGCTAAAGGAGTTCATCCTCACCAAGTCCTTATTTATATGAAATGTTAAAGGGACTTATTAAAAAAAGATCAAAATATGAACATTAAAATGATAACAAACTCACAACTATGAACTGAATTTACGGAACAAACTAAGCAAACAACCAGAATAGGAACAGAATCATAGAAATGGAGATCACATGGAGGGTTATCAATGAGGAGGGGGAAGGAAGGAATAAGGGGGGGGGAAGGTACAAGGAATAAGAAGCATAATTGGTAGGTACAAAATAGATGGAGGGGGGCGGGTTAAGAATAGTATAGTAAATGGAGAAGCCAAAGAACTTATATGTATGACCCATGGACACGAAATAAGTGGGGGAATGGTTGGAGGCAATGGGGTTACCAGGAAGAAGAGGGCAAAGGAGGGAAAATTGGAACAACTGTAATAGCATCATCAATAAAATATACTTAAAAAAAAGAAAATACATCAGAGTGTAGCAAAGAGTAGGCCTTCAACAAAGGTCTCATGAGTGAAGGAGAGAAGACATAGCATCATATTGTTAGGGCTTTGGGCTTATAACTTAGAGCTTTTTATTGTAAACATAGAGTAAAATGTGGATACCAGTAATCATGCTGCTGTCTCAATGTAATGAACTTCATCTAAAGGTGTGACATAAAAAACATTTGATATAAGGTCAACTTCAAGATGTTTTGAAATGCAGAATGAAATCTTGGGTTGTTTTTCCTTCAAAATTCCCACACAGATTTCCAGACCATGTGCAGAAAGGCCTGTTGCACCACACAAGCTGAACTTCTCATAGTGGCTTTTCTGTGTAAAAGGTCTGGGGCATCCTTCTGGTGAGAGGGCAGAGCATTTCCAGAAATCAGACCCCGTGTGCAAAGAAGCTCACGTACCCTTGAAGGTATGTAAATGCCATTCTAACTATAACTTTCAATTCATTCCAGGTACTAATGACTTGTAACTTTCATTGTGTGGTATGAAACCGGCACTAGAGGTTCTGTGACATATTTTCTATTACACAAGAGTAAAAACTGCCCAAAATGTTCATATAGTTAAATGACCACCAAACACTACAAGTGTAACCAACATGGTTCTATTAAAAATGCTCTCCAACTATGGCATTCAAGGATAGCAATAAAATGTTTTCTTTACAAAGCACTAATGTAAAAATCTGCAAATGACAAATTCACTTGTAGTCTATTTTTTTCATATAGGCAGGTTATTAGATTCTTTCAATTATTTCCTGAGGTATTTTTTTTTGCACAGTGTACTTTTATTGTACTACTGGATGCATTATCTTTGATCATCCTTTCTTAAGATATTTTTAAAAGACCTGCAGAAAATTTTATTGCATAGCACACTATTCAGGACATAGAAATTGGGAACTGCAAATATGTGCCATTGGAGAAGTCTTACAAAGGCTACATTTAAGATTTTCCTAGCCCTGGCTGGTGTAGCTCAGTGGATTGAACGCAGGCTTGCAAACCAAAGGATGGTGGTTTGATTCCAAGTCAGGGCACATGCCTAGGTTGCAGGCCAGTTCCCAGCAGGGGATGCACAAGAGGCAACCATATATTGATGTTTCTCTTCCTCTCTCCTTCCCTTCCCCTCTAAAAATAAATAGGTAAAAATCTTTTTTAAAAACAATTTTGCTAAATACAGACTTCTGGCCAAGATGGAGGCATAGGCAGAGACACTTCTCTTCCTTGCACAATCAAAAGAAGGACAATAACAAATAAAAAAAAACAACAACCCAGAACTGCCAGAAAATCAAACTGTATGGAAGTCTGATAAGCAAGAAATTAAAGAAGAAACATTCATCCAGACTACATCACAATGCAACAAGGTGGGTTGCCCCACCCCAGTGAATACCGAAGGCTCCACCCCTTACAACATAACAGGTATGCTGAGACAAAGAAAAATGGGCAAATGAAAGAATAGATCAAAGCTCCAGAAAAAGGGCTAAGCGACAAGGAGATAGCCAACCTATCATATGCAGAGTTCAAAACACTGATAATCAGGTTGCTAACAGAAATGATTAAGTACAGATGTAAAATAAAGGAAGAAGTAAAGGCTATACAAAGTGAAGTAAAGCAAAATATACAGGGAACCAACAGTGAAGGGAAGGAAACTGGGACTCAGATAAAATATTTGGAACAGAAGGAAGAAATAAACATTCAACCAGAACAGTATGAAGAAACAAGAATTCAAAGAAATGAGGAGAGGCAGAGGAACCTCTGGGACAACTTTAAATGGTCCAGCATCTGAATCATAGGGGTTCCAGAAGGAGAAGAGGAAGAGCAAGAAATTGAAAACTTATTTGAAAAAATAATGAAGGAAAACTTCCTCAATCTGGCAAAGGAAATAAACATGCAGGTCCAGTAAGCTCAGAGAGTCCCAAAGAAGTTGGACCCAAGGAGGAACACACCAAGATACCTCATAATCAAATTACCCAAGATTAAAGGCAAAGAGAAAATCTTAAAAGCAACAAGAAAAAAGGAGACAGTTACCTACAAAAGAGTTCCCATAAGACTATCAGGTGATTTTGCAAAAGAAACCATGCAGGCAAGAAGGGGCTGGAAAGAAGTATTTGAAGTCATGAAAGGCAAGAACCTACAACCAAGATTACTCTATCCAGCAAAGCTATCACTTAGAATGGAAGGGTAGATAAAGTGCTTCCCAGACAAGGTAAAGCTAAAGGAGTTCATCATCACCAAGCTTTATTATATGAAATGTTAAAGGGACTTTTGTAAGAAAAAGAAGAAGATCAAAACTAAGAACAGTAAAATGATGACAAACTCACAACTATCAACAACTGGATCTAAAAACAAAAACAAACTAAGCAAACAACTAGAATGATAACAGAATCACAGAAATGGGGATCACATGAAGAGTTATTAAGGAGGAGAGGGAGGGAGAGAATAGGGAAAAAGGTACAGGGAATAAGAAGCATAATTGGTAGTTACAAATTAGGGGGAGGTTAAGAACAGTATAGTAAATGGAGAAGCCAAAGAACTTATATGTATGACTCACAGACATGAACTAATTGGGGTGAGGGGGCGGATGATGGATGGAGGGGGCATACTGCTCAGAGGGGGATGAAGAGGAGAAAAAATGGGACAACTATATGAGCCTAATCAAGAAAATATACTTAAGGCCCTACCTGTTGTAGCTCAGTGGACTGAGTTCAGGCTGCGAACCAAAGTGTCACGGGTTCGATTCCCAGTCATGGTACATGCCTGGTTTATGGGCCAGGTCCCTAGTGGGGACCATGTGAGAGGCAACCACACATTGATATTTCTCCCTCCCTTCCCCTCTCTCTAAAAATAAATAAAATCTTTAGAAATATATATACTTTAAAAATTTGCTAAATACATTTTTTTTTACAATTTGTCTCTTTTTAAAAATTGAAGTTACAGCTAAGAGTTCACTACATACAATGAAGCATTTTGGGAATGTTAGAGGTTAGATAATATTATGAATGATACAAAGGAAAAAAGCCATAATTCTTGCTGACTACATATTGTATTGCTTTCGAAAGCAACTGTACATGTAATCAGTTCATAGTTAGTTAAGTACTACTACTAATCTGTTTTAGGAGAGCAAATGTCTTTCAAGGTTTCAAGTTCCTCTATAAGCTTCTTGTTCTGAACTTCCAGCACCGCAACTCGACTCTCCAGACATTTTACATATTCTTTCTTTCGACGTCGACATTCTTTAGCAGCTTCCCTGAAAAAAAAAAAAAAGAAGCAAAGGGCAAAGAAAACAATTTTTGCATGCTATTGACTGAACAGACTGAAGTGAGCTTGGTGTATGTGATCACGGTTGCATTCCAAATTTGGAACAACACTCCCCACTCAATTTCAAACACTAAGCCAAACTGGATTCTTAAGGGTTACAAGTGTCCCTTCCATATGTCTACATGGCAATTAGTGGAACTGCTGCATCTCCTGCCTTGACTTCAGTTCATAGTAAACAAGGTCCAAATCAAAGACAGTTACTCTGCTTTATGGCAATAAAGATCTTTAAGGGCCTTGAGTTCCTCAATGAGAGTCTTGTTTTGGTTTTCAAGCACAGCCACACGATTTTCAAGACATGTGACATATTCTTTCTTCTTCCTGCGACACTCCCGGGCAGCTTCCCTGCAACCAACACAAGGCAAATGACTTAGGAATGACCTCCCAGCACAGTCCTGAGGGGCTCCATGAACTTTGGCCCCTCAAACTCAACAGTCAATCAATCCTAGGTAAGGTTTGCAGAAAGCCACACAACAAATGTTCTCAATGCCATGCCTTTTTGTAAGATGACTCTAAGACAACAGGAATGATTTGGAAGCAGAGTCCATTTGCCCAGCATTCATTGTAAATGGTGTTTTCATAGAGCACACATTCCACAATAACAGTGACCAGAATGGTTTTCAGTAACCTAAAACATTAGAACCACATTTCCAAGTGGAATTCCTACAAAAACATCTATGGATCCTTTTGAATCTCTTGGTTATTTTTGTCCACCAAAAGCCCTACATTCCATCATAATGAGTTAACTTTATTTCATCAAGAATAATTACAAAAATTAATCCTCAGAGACCTTATATATCAATGGAGATTTTCATTCTTTGAGACTAAATCACAGTGAAACAAATAAATTAATCAGGACAGTAAGACAGTTGTTGACTGGGAAACAACATGAATAAAAATAACAATAAATGAATAATAAATCATTGCATATTTTCATAAACCAAAATGAAATGGACTCTGCTTCTGAAAATTAAAGATGGAAAGAAGGAGAATACAAGATACAATACTCAACAGTTCAGACAATTTAAATCCAGGAATGTGAAAATACCAGGAAAATCATGAAAAGAAAGCTACTTAATTACTCAAGGCTATTCTCTCATCATAGGCATTTACTATCCAATCTACTGAATTTTAACACACTGTAGGCATACCCAGAGGAAAGAACAGACCAGCAGCCAAAGCAACAGACACAAGTAAAAATATGAGCCACAGTCATTTTCATGCATCGCTCCATCAAAAGAAACACAATGAATACAGCCAACATTCTCTCTCTCCTTTCTTTCTGGGCCTGAGGGGTTGGCGACAACATCATTTAATTCCTCTATAGATTGTATCCTGCTAACAGTTTCATTTTGGAGTTTTCGATTCAGAAATAACTGCCTTGGGGGTACCCTTCACATCAAAAAATCATACACTGAAAGGTAATTCAGGCCCTAGCTGGGTAGCTCAGTTGGTTGGAGTGGTGTCCTGACACTCCAAGGTTGCAGGTTCAATCCCTGATCAGAGCATATATAAGAATCAACCTATAAATGCATAAATGCAGGAACAATAAATCACTGTTTCTCTCTCTCTCTCTCATTTCTTCTCTCACTCTAAGATCAATAAATTAAAAAAAAAGAATTTAAGTATATTTTATCAAAGGTTGTGTCGAATATCTAAACACCAGTTACAGTAATGCCAATTACCACTGTTGCACACATGAATTAGGAGTGAGCATATGACAGATCTGGCCAATTCTGTTTTATTTTTAGGATAGTTGACTCTCACCCAAAACTGATTATGTGTTTCTTCCTTGCAGGAAGCAAGAGTCAGCAGAAATAAGGAGATCCTGAAATGCCAATAAACTGCAGGAAAAGATCAACCCCTGTTTCCTAACCAAGAACAATGCACTCACCCTGTGAACCCACAAAGTTCTCAGACTTCTCAACTCGTTAACAAAAAATAACAATGTATAAATGAATTGAATCTCATAAGTACTGCTTAACTTAATCTAATGATGCATGGGAAAAAGCTCAGAATAAATCCAAGGACACATATAAAACATGCCAGTTTGGGAACAGAATTCAACTATTCCACAAAGGAATAAAATATACATTTAATGAATACCAAGGTTTCCATAATTAACTCATTATATTAAATTCTAGATCTGGAAGGAAGATGGTCATTTTATAAAACGAGTCACCATTAAATGAAATTTTAAATATCTAATGGCAGTGTTATGGGCTATTTAACTTAAAATTTTTTTACCGAGGTGTACTATGTACTGTAAACATCTATACTTGGTGTTTCACACATGTGCATGTGCTGCTACCAGAGTCGAATGTTCCAAGCACAAAGCTTTAACTGATCACACTAGTAGAAGGCACACTCCTAAGAACTTAACTTCTCAGCTATGGAAAACACCTGTTTCTTCTATTAATAGTTAGAGCTCAGCTTTCAGGCCTTGCTTTTGTCTGGATATATCTTCAGCATGGAGAGAAAATACATGGCAAATGGGAAAAGCTGACAAGGCTGTAAAGAAAGAAAAACTGTGGCTGGATTGGTAGAAATATAATTAAATATCCACTATAAGTGCTAGACAAAGAATAAAAAGAAAAAAGGTGTAAAAGATCTTTCACATCGTTGAGTGAAATGTACATTCTTTCCATAAAGTTGAATCTGAAGCTCATGCTGAGGTCTTTCAGGGGTGACTCTGGTGTTAGTGTAGTGGGCAGGCTCTGGAATAGAGGCTGGCTGGTTGCGTATCCAGGTTCAGTCTAGTTTGCACTGTGCGATATTAACCAACTCATGTAAAGTCTCTGAATCTCAGTTCCTACCTGTAAGGTAAGGATAATAGCCAGACCTATTCTCATGTGATAGTTATGTGACAGTTATGCAAACAGTAGAAACAAAGCACTTAAAATGTGCATATGGTGCTCACTCAACAGATACTGAGCAACATAATAGACATTCATTTTCTGCTTTTCTCTTGTCTTTCTTCAAAACAGATTTGAAAAGCTAAAAGACTCAGAATCCCTTGAAGGTAGGGATTCTATTAGCTATTTCTAGTCATTGAAATGTGGGCAAAAGTTGCTGGCAGAGCCCAAAGTTTTTAGAAGGGTCAGACTCAACCAGCCCCCACTTTAAGCTTCAGTTCTTCTCTCCTCTTCCTGATGAAATGGCTGGAGGGGAGGCAGCCACACTGCGATCACAGGAACAAATGTCGCACAGGGGAGATTGGCAGGGCAGGGAGGAGGAGCGTGGATCCTGGATGACACTGTGGGGCCTTTGTTCTGGCTGCATGTACCTCTGGACCCACAATGTGAGATCAAATAACACCTACGCCCTGACCAGCATGGCTCAGTTGGTTGAATATCACCCTGCAAAGCAAAAGGTCACTGGTTTGGTTCCTGGTCAGGGCACATGCCTGGGTTGCAGTCCAGGTCCAAGTTGGGGGGTGTGTGAGAGGCAATGGATTGATGTTTCTCTCACACATCGATGTTTTTCTCCCTCTCTTTCTCCCTCTCTTCCCCCACTCCCTAAAAATAAATAAACAAACAAACAAACAAATAAATAAATAAAATCTTTTTAAAATACCACCTGCAAGGTTAAGCCTCCATTCCCTTTGGTTATTTAGAGTCCAAACACAAATGCTATCTAATTGTTATTAACAAATTATTTTAATCCCAATATTTTATAATTTTTCCCTCAGGAAGAGCTCATGTATGTGTAGGTAGCTGTGGGGCACCTTTTATAGGAACCCACTGCCTAATGTTTTATCTATTTCATTTTGGTAGTTCTGACATTTTTTATTAATCTAAAAATAAAGGTATAAAATGACATCAGGGAGATAACAACACTAAACTCCTAGTTCTTCCTTTTTTATTTTCTTTGGGAAAATAAGACATCGATGAACAATTCTGCATTATTATCACACTTTACATTATAAAATGAACTTCACAATGTACGTTCTGTGACCAGAGAGACAGTTATATTTGAGCTCCTGGGATCTCTGAAAGTGCAGTTTTAAAGTATCCACAATCCTCCATCTGATCCAAGTTAAGGACCTTTGATGACAGGATCTGCACACACCAACTGTGATACTATGTGAGTCCTGCCCATTCAGCCCCTTTAGACTTTCTGAGCAAAATGCTGATGATGCAAAACATGAATCCAGCAGGACTTACAACCTGGAACAACCACTGATACAGATGTGCGTATCTAATGGTCCTGTTGCCGGTAATCTGTCACAGGGCACAAAACTCCATCTAGTGATTTGTGATAACTAATAAGCCTGGGAACAGTAGAAAACAAAGTACTGTAACACAGCAAATTATGACATTTAAAAGGCTATTAGTAAACTGAATATAAACTGCTTCATAGTTACAAAGGACAATGATGAACTTATTTCTGGATTTGAGTCTTTTTTTAATTGTTCAGTTACAGTTGTCCCCATTTTCCTCCCATTATTCTCTCACACCCTACCTGTACCCCTTTCAATCCTCCCCCAACCCCTGTTGTTTTTGTCCATGGGTCCTTTATACATGTTCTTTGATGATCCTTCCCCTTCCCCCCATTATCACTTTCCCTCCTCCCCTCTGATGAGTGTCAGTTTGTTCTTTATTACAATGTTTCTGGTTATATTTTGCTTGCTTGTTTGTTTTGCTGTTTAGGTTCCACTGATAAGAGATCATATGGTATTTGTCTTTTACCACCTGGTTTATTTCACTTAGCATAATATTCTCCAGTTCCATCCATGCTGCCATGAAGGGCAGGAGTTCCCTCTTTCTGCTGTGTAGTATTCCATTGTGTAAATGTACCACAGCTTTTTGATCCATTTATTTACAGATGGGCACTTAGGCTGTTTCCAGCACTTGGCTATTGTAAATGACAGTGCTCTGAACACTGGGGTGCATAAGTTCTTTTCAATTGGTGTTTCAGGGTTCTTAGGGT